TATAGTTACAGTTGACTTTACAATTTTTTTTCTCTTTTAATCTTCATACTGGCTTATGCAAGTGGTTGATCCACAGCCTTTACTATATACTTGCCTTTACTAGTGGGCTTTTTCCTTTCCTATAAATTCTTACTGGAGTTTGGAGCCTACTCTTTTCCACTTAGAGAAGACCCTTCGACATTGCTTTTAATGAGTTGGTAGAGTGTTTATGAACTCTCTTAGTTTTTGCTTCTCTGAGAAGTTCTTTATCTCTCCTATCCTGAATGACAATCTTGTCAGGTAGAATACTCTTGGTTGCATAGGTTTTTCCTCTCATAGCACTTCAAATTTAACATTCCACTCCTTTCTGGTCTGCAAAGTTTCTGCAGAGAATTCATTTGATAGCCTTACAGGGATTCCCTTGTACACGACTTTTCCTCTTGTTGCCTTTAGAATTCTCTCTTCAAGTTTTCCCATTTTAATTATGGTGTGTTGGGGTGGATCTCCTTGGGTTTATTTGAGACTCCTTTGAGACTCTTCTGTTTCCTGTACCTGAATATATGTTTCTCTCCTTCAGGTCTGGAAAGTTTTCAGTCCTAATTTTATCAAATACATTTTTAACCCTTTCCTCTGTCTTCTCCTTTTGGGACTCATATAAAGAGGTTGTTAGTATGCCAGATGTTGTCCCAAAGGTCCCTTAAATTGTTCATTTTTTCCTTTTTGCTGTTCTGATTGGGTGATTTTCATTATTCTAATCTTCCAGATTGCTCATGTGTTCTGTATCACCGTGTGTGCCGTTAATTCCTTCTAGTGTGTTTTCCATTTCAGTTTCTGTCTTCAGTTCTGACTGGCTTTTGTTTCCAAGTTCCTTATTAAAATTCTCATTCTGTTCATCTGCCCTCTTCCCTAGTTCAGTTAGCATTCTTATTATTAATGTTTTGAACTGCTTATCTGCTAAATTATTTATCTTTAATTTATCTTTAGTTAGTTGTTTTTTCAGGGACTTTTCTTGTTCTTTTGTTTGCAACGATTGTCTCAGTCTCTATGAAATTAGGGGTAAACAGTTTCCTATCCAGGTCTTGAAGGGCTGCCCTTGTGTAGGAGCATTCTGATACAGTCTGCCTGTGGCTCTGTTGGGAGAGCAGGGTATGAAGTTAGCACAGGTCATGTTTTTCCCCAGGTGTCCAGGCAGCTCTCACTTTGGTGGAAGGTGGAGCTGGTGATGGAGGAGACACAGCCAGAACCAGGTGTGAGCTGGGGTTTCCCCTGTGCCTAGTGGCTAATGCTGTCTCATTGGGTGCGGGGTCAGATGGCAAGGTGATGGAGCAAGTATGAGCTGGTTCAGTTCCTCTAAGTGTGTGCTCTCTCTGTTCCCACATTGGCACCTTTGCCCCAGATGGGGCAGCACTGGAATGGGCTAGGTGGTCCGAGCATGCCAGTCAGTGCTCCAGACTACTCTCCATCTGCTGGGTCCATGAGAATCAGGAATGGCTACTTACTCTCTCCCCATTCAGGAAACAGTGACAGACTTTAATTTCTTGGGCTCCAAAATCACTATGGATGGTGACTGCAGCCATGAAATTAAAAGACGCTTACTCCTTGGAAGAAAAGCTATGACAAATCTAGACAGCATATTAAAAAGCAGATTACTTTGCCAACAAAGATCCATCTAGTCAAAGCTAGGGTTTTTCAGTAGTCATGTATGGATGTGAGAGTTGGACTTTAAAGAAAGCTGAGCGCTGAAGAATTGATGCTTTTGAACTGTGGTGTTGGAAAAGACTCTTGAGAGTCCCTTGGACTGCAAGGAGATCCAACCAGTCTACCCTAAAGGAAATCAGTCCTGAATATTCATTGGAAGGACTGATGCTGAAGCTGAAGCTCCAATGCTTTGGCCACCTGATATGAAGAGCCTACTTACTGGAAAAGACCCTGATGCTGGGAAAGACAGAAGGCAGAAGTAGCAGGGGATGACAGAGGAAGAGATGGTTGGGTAGCATCACTGACTCAATGGACATGAGTTTGAGCAAGCTGCGGGGGTTGGTGACGGCCAGGGAAGCCTGGCCTGCTGCAGTCCATAAGGTCACAAAGAGGTGGACACAACAGAGTGAATGAACAGCAACACAACAACATTTGGGGGTGCATATTTCTTTTCGACTTTTGTTTTCTTCAAATAAATACCCAGAGGTGAAATTGGGAGACTGTGTGGTACTTCCTTTTTAAATTTTTTGCAGAACCTCCACACTGTTTATCATAGTGGTTGTACCAATTTGCATTCCCACCAACAATGCATGAGGTTCCCCTTTCTCTACATCCTTGCCAACTCTTGTTGTCTTTTTGATGACAAGCATTCTGACACGTGTGAGGTATCAAGATTTTGATTTGCATTTCCCTGATGATTAGTGATATGAGCATCTTTCCCATGCCTGTTGGCCATCTGTATGTCCTCTTTGGAAAGATGTCTACTCAGATCCTCTGCCTGCTTTTTAATTGAATTTTTTTTGGATATTAAGTTGTATGAGTTCTTTACATATTTGAGCTCTTTATGTGTTTTGGACATTAACTCCTTATCAGACATATAGTCTGCAAATATCTTCTCCCTTTCAGTAAGCTGCTGTTTCATTTTTCTATGGCTTCCTTCACTGTGCAAACACCTTTTAAGGTTGATGCAGTCCTATTTGTTTATTTTTGCTCCTGTTGCTCTCACCTAAGAAGACGTATCCAAAAAAATATTGCTGAGACTAATGTCAAAGAGCTTACTGCCTATGTTTTCTTGAAGGAGTTTTGTGGTTTCAAGTCTTACATTTACGCCTTTAACCTATTTTACTTTTCTATGTGGTGTAAGAAAGTGATTCAGTTTTCCCAGCACCATTTATTGAAGAGACTGTCTTTGCCCTATATTCTTGCCTCCTTTGTTGTAGATTAACCAACCATAAAAGTATGGGTTTATTTTGGGGCTCTCCATTCTATTCTATTTCCCAATCTTAAGCTAAAATGTGGCTTCCCTTACAGTAGGTAGAGATGGAAATATATAAAGAAGAACTGAAAAAAATTTCCCAACATCTACACATAAAAAATCATTAACATAGTGAGATGTAATATTTCCCAGAAAAATATTTGGTCAATTAATGATTAGTTTAAGAAAGACAATTAAGTATGCCAGGTTCTTTACTAGCCAAAGACAAGAAAAACAGGGACACTATAAAATACAATGTAATGTAATTCAACAAGTGACCTACTTTAAAAAAGCTCACAACAACCACTTGTGTGAGGTCAAAGAGAAGTGCTATTTCAGCATTACAGACTTATCCTGGCTTAATGAACGACCATAAAATAACTACATGTGTGAGACTGCAAATAAATTACTCCATAATGTAGATTCCTTGGTACACATACATCTCAAAGATAATAAAACTGAAAAAATCTAAATTCATTATATTATAAACACTACATTTTTCCAGAGAGAAAACGACATAGGTAGGTTTCCTAGTAGACCAGGAATCCACATAACTTAAATAGAGCTGAAAGAGTCAGTACTTTGTTTTCTCCACCAATAAAATCAGGAATTGGTTGGCCTAAACATCTATTATACATCTAAGACATATGATTTTAGAACTGATTTTCACAGGGCTTCAGAAATTATGTGTAAATATTTCAAGAAGAAGAAATGTAAAAGATACACATTTGCTTTGTATCTCCTCATTATCTGTAAACTTGGAAGGAGTCAGTGTTGGGGTTGCAAGCACAGGTAGAGGATTACACCTTGTAAACACAAAAAAAATTACATTTAATATCTATATTAACATGAGTTTGTATCCCAAACAGAACAAATATTACCAAATTCCTTAATTAAAATTCTATTAATTAGCTTCACATTAAACTATGAATTATTAAGATCAGGCAATTCTTCATGAGAATTACCATTCTGGGCACTAATCAGCCAGAAGTTGTGCTCGTGTTTGGGATTTAATTTTGCTTTATTAAGAAATCATGCTGGGGAATTCCCTGGAGACCCAGTGGTTAATACTTGGCTCTTTCACAGCTGTGGACCTGGATTCGATCCCTGGTCGGGAACTAAGTTTCCACAAGCTGAGTGGCATGGCCAAAAAAATAAAGTAAAATGAAATTATCTCTTCAATATTGAGATATCTGGGGAAAATTTAATTTAAATAAATAAACATTCATGCTTAAGGAAACTCACTGAGTATATTTATTCTTGGCAGGTATGTTAGCCAAATAGCATGCCTTGATGACTAGTTAGGAAAAGGAAAAATGTGTGTGTTTAACAATTTTGAAGACTAGTTGCAAGGCCTCTGTGAAGAAATTTTTATCCAATCACAAAAAAAAAAGAAAATTTTTTTCTAAAAAAATTTCAGAAATATTTGTCCTAAATATTTCTATTATAAAGAACTCAGTGATGTACTGCTGAAGAATGTCATGCCACTGTCCCTGCTGTCCCAGACAGTCACATCACCAATAAAACTTCTTTGGCAATTTAAAAATACGAATCTCTTTAGAGGCCTATGTAGCCCCCCAAGCAAACCCAGATGATTTCAGTCACATTTCTCATGCTGCTGACTCACAGACACTTTCTCCATAAGGGGAAAGCAATCTTTAGTCCCCCAAGAATAACAGGCACTTTAAAATTAAAATCATGCCTTTCTGCAGCACTTGGTGTTTAGCTCTGCTCCATCATATTCCTTTATTCCCAACAGAATAGCACTTCCACTTATTGGCACCTGAAAATACTTCAATCTTCCTTCATTTAAAATTCAACTGGGTAGAAAGTTTTGAAAGTGGTTCAGCACACAAGACCAAAGATGACTTCAAATTTGCTATATTGAAAGCAATATATTGAAAGCCCAAAGCTACTGAAATAATATCCTTTTAGAAATTCTAAGATGTACCATGAAGAGAAATCTCTTATTCAAGGATAAAATCAAGAATTTTAAGACTAAATTAAAAATTGAGATGCAATTAGAGTCTACTTGACCAACAGATTTCCTATTCTCGTCCACACTCACCTCTCCCGAGGAACAGCAAACCAGTACTCCGGTTGCTTTCTTCGTTTGCCATACTGCTGGACCACGGCTGTCGTGTGAGTGGCAAAGGATTTCCTCATTGGTTTTCCCACTTTAATGCACAGAAACATGGGTGGAGTCTTGCTTTTCTCTTCTTTTGAAGGAAGTATATCTGAATCACACATGAAAAAAAAAACTCCATTATTAATAATATTGGTGATACCGAAATATTTCAACTTAGAATTTCCAGTCCCCTCTTTGTGGTGGAAAGTCAAAGCATATGACATAAACATCATATAACATGATCATGTTAGATTAGAACTAACTAAATCTTTCAGACCTTCTTAAGCACAGAAGGTAAAAGTTCTGGATGTTTCACGTTGGTCTACATCACCTGAGATACTACAAACTAGGAATAAGGATAAAACCCAACACAACAGCAAAGAGTAGAGATTTGTGACAACCTGCAAGAATACATATCAGTGAATGGTACTGAGGACCAAATCATACCACAATGCCATTCAGTTTAAAACTGAAATACCTTCAAAAACCAAAGTGAAAAAGGAAAAGTTCCTTGAAAGATTTTTTAAAAAGCACACCACTTTCGTTATAGAATTCTGTGTCATAGTTCAATGTTCAAAATAGATACTGTATATTGCTGATTCTTCCCAATTACTACTGACCCTTGAACAACAGAGGATTTAGAGATGCTGACACTTCTGCAGTAAAAATATATATATAACTTTAGAGCTGTCTCTCCATAGCCCTCCTCCATGGATTCAAACAACTATAGATGGTGCAATACTGTATTTCAAATTTATTGGAAAAAAAATCTGTATACAAGTGGACCTGTGCAGTTCAAACCCTTCTGTGTATCAATAAAGATATGCTCTATTGAGGAAACACTGTTCTCCAATAACTGTGCCACTTTTGCCATTGCATGTGCAAATTTTAGAAAGGCAACTATACTTGGAGATATTGTGGGTTTGGTCCCAGACTATCACGATAAGGCAAATATCACAATCAAGTGAGTAACACAATTTTTTTTTGGTTTCCCAGTGCCTATAAAAGTCAGGTTTATATTATATTGTAGTCTATCTAAGTGTACAATAGCATGATATCTATAAAAGAGTACAATGTAATTAGAGAATCCTTTATTGCTAAAAAAATGTTAACCACCATCTGAACCTTCAGGGGTAATACCTAAGATCACTGATCACAGATCACCACAAATATAATAATGAAAAAGTCTGAAATATTGCAAGAATTACCAAAATGTGCAACAGAGACATAAAGTCAGCAAATACTGTTGGAAACAGGGCGCCAATGGTCTTGTTTGATGTGGGGTTGCCACAGATCTTCAATTTGTAAAAAATATGCAGTTTCTGTGAAACACAATAAAACAAGATATGCCTATAGAACAGAATAGAAAGAAATTAAAAATGGCTTACCTTCAATGGGTACCTGAATTCTCTTTAATAGCCATAACTGAACTTCAGATTTATTATCCATTTGTGCACCTTGGCAGCTATTGTCCAGAATAGATTCCAAAGAAGAATCTGGATACTCTTTATTCATACTTTCTTCTGTAGAGGAGCTCAGTTGCAACGGAAGGGGTGTTTTCTCTTTTGCCCAGGTTTTATCTGGCTCTTCCTTGCCCTCAATCAGGGGATCACTTGTCTGCAGAAGAGAACTACTAAGGGTGATGTCTATTCCCACTGGCTCAGTACTTTTGCCATCGCTTAATTCTGCCTTCTGCATGTTATCAGGTAACTGTGACCCTTCTTTGTTCTTATTAAGGTAATATTCAATGAGTTTGACTTTATCTAAATCTTCATGGATGTTCAGTGTGTTGTCCATCTGGCTTTCTGGGGACCCAGACCACTTGTCCACCTCTGGCATCATATCTTGTTTCTCACAGGTTTCTAAGTCTAGGGCTCCCTTCAGTTCAGCATCACACCCTGTTCCTGAAAAGTTCGGGGCTGACTGAATCTCCGTAGAGCTGCTTACTCGTGATTTAGTCTTCCTTAGTTCCTCTGGGTCAAGAGAAAGGCAGTCCTTTGAGGTGTCTCTTTTGTCCGTTCCACCTTTAGCTTGAGAAGAAAGTTCTTCCAAGTCAACGAAGTCATCGTCTTCCCCTAAAAGAGAATTTTCTTTGGCTACAGATTCAAACGCAGCCCGGGTGTCAGAAGGTTCCTTGCTGACGTTAGGTACTGTGGTAGATTCTTGGGTTGCCCCTGCAGCAGATTCCAGTTTCTTTACCTTGTCTGACACAGAGCTGTATGAGGGCTTCGTTTCTATGTGTTCTGGTGACTTCTCTGAAGGTCCCATTGCTGTGGAATCTGAAGTGATGGTTCTCTCTCCACTCTGCTGCCGTTTCTCTTTGTTGAGAGATTTGAACTTACTGAACGGGTTGATATCCTTTTCTGAAGCCAGGTCTTCCCATTCTCCAGGCCTGTACAGAGGACAAAGATCCTGAGGTAGGTCACTGCGGGGGGAAAAATTGTGGGTGCACATGGAATGTTAAAAGCAAAACCAAAAGCAAAAGGATGAAAGGCAAAAAAAACTAAAACAAAATCCAACCAAAAAACCAAAACATAAATATACCACAACTCAAACTTATGTTTAAAGGACTTTAAAGTAAGGAAATAAAATCAAGAGGTTGACTTCAAAATGAAAAATTAAATCAGCCATAAAAAGTGGCAAAATAAAGAACCATGAGAGTTGCTTGCATATCCTATTAGAAGCAAATGAATGGTATTTGAGGTCATTTATGAACATGGAGATGTCACCCACCAGATTTTTAGTGATGAAATAAAGTTTCTGATTTTCATGAAAGACAAAGGAGAGGGAATGTTGTAGTACTATGTCTAAAATTTCTTAGATATTCAAGGCTTTTCCTTTTCTCATAAAATAGTACATAAACCAACTACATTACTTTTAAAAATTATTTTTATTTATGTATTGTATTTATTTTTAAAAATTTATTTAATTGGAGGCTAATTACTTTACAATATTATAGTGGTTTTGCCTACATTGACATGAATCAGAATGGCTCATTGACCAAGTAGCTACTCATTTAACTGCTCTGTAAAGTAATTGACATGGAACCATAATTTTGGTTTCATGGTTTAAGAGTCAATGCTTTCAAAAAGAGACATCCTTCTACTCCTAAAAGAGATACAAGAGGATTATTTCCACTATTACTGCAGGTATATAGCACCAGCTCCATTTTACAGTTTAAAAATTTATGACAATAAGTCAAATAAGCTCTTACTTACAATTGGTTTACATTTCTTATCTCTTTCATTTTATTACACTACCATTTTACTTTATGGCAATAAGCAGCTGTTTTATCAGCTGAAACAGTTTCCTGGGACATGGTCAATTATTTTTCCTTAGTGACAGATGCTTTATTACCCAGATTTAAATTATACAAAAAATATTGATTAAACATGTTTTCCAAAGTCCTCCACAGTTTACTTACCTTACTGTCGATATGGACTAAAACACAGATACGAAACCCTTTTTAAAAATAACATGTTAGATTTCAGAACTAAATTTTCTAAAAAGGGTAGATCATATTCAGGTAATACTTTATTATTCTGGCTTTGAAATAATTATGACAATACTCAGCAAAGTCCTAGGAAGTTCAAGTTACAAGACTGTCTCCCCGAAGTTACTGAATAAATCACTTGCATGGAGCATCCAGGTTTTTTCCAATATAAAACAAAAGCCTATGTAACTGTTAGGCTCTGATAAATGCTTTAAAGTGAAAGTGAATCGCTCAGTCGTGTCCAACTCTTTGCGACCCCATGGACTGTAGCCTACCAGACTCCTCTGTCCATGGGATTCTCCAGGCAAGAATACTGGAGTGGGTTGCCATTCGCTTCTCCAGGGAATCTTCCCGACCCAGGGATCAAACCCGGGTCTCCTGCATTGCAGGCAGACGCTTTAACCTCTGGGCCACCAGGGAAGCCTGATAAATGCTTTAAAAGGCCTCTAATTCATAATTCATTTCAATTCAATAACCATTCACTGAGCCCCTACACACCATATATGCTAAAAGACAATTGTGACAGTGTCTCTGTTTGGAAGAAGCCTGTACACACCAAAATGTTCTGCTCACCATAAGCATCTCAAGAGATGTTACAGATGCTTCAATCCTAGAGTCAAGTATAATGTAGCATAATTTCCATTTTCAGACCCCAAATTTAATTTGGCATATTAAAGACCAAAGTCAGTCCTATAACAAAGAAGCCCAGCTTTTCACATACTTAATGATCAAACTGATAAGCAAAACCATCTTCCAATGAACACCTAAATCCCTTCCTCATCTCTTACTTCCCTGGCTAGCTTAACTTCCACAAAGAAAGCATATGACTGCACTCTAATCAGCCTCCTATATTACCTTCTCATCTACCCCTTCCTTCTTGTTCTACGTAATCCAAGCCAGGATTAATTTAGCCATCTTTTTTTTTTGTACTGCAACTGCCAAGCTCTTCTGGGGCAACATACACAGTGGTGTCAACTGGCTCTGCTGTTAATTAATGTTTTCTAGACTCAACCAGGGACCTAATGATGACCAATAATCCCTTCAGTTGTTCCCTTCCTAGTCTCCATGGCAGCTGGAACTACAAAATATCCTGTACAAAGTATATAAGGCCTGAAGATAAAGATCGAGAGGTTTTACACATGCACACTTTTATTATCTTCCAATAAAAAAATTTTGTTAATAATAAAAATAAAAAAAAACTATTTGCATATGGCAACCAGATAATTTGCACTTCTTGTTTTAACATACAACTTTAAATAATGAAATTTAAACTACTTTAAACTTTTCAGCACTTGATGGAATTCGGAGGTCAGTACCAAATTCATTTGCCACTGATTCTACTACCTCATTCTATTTTGCTCATTGGTGCACATACTCTTCATTAGACTAAAAACGTCTTTAGATCCCTGCATCCACAGGAACAATCACTGTACAACTCTGAAATAATTTCAGCACACCAGGAGCCAATTCTCAACTCCTCACTCTCCCCTCAGCTACAGCGTTAGCCTCGGATCATGAAACACAATCTCACATTGAGAGAAATCTTTCTGTAAGGATGTATCTTCCCTATTACTAAAAGAACACTTAACATCCTACCCTGAAGATGTGCAACAGAATTGCTCCATTAAAAGCCATCACTGGGAGGAAATGCCCCTAACTGCCTGGCCATCCACTTCCAAACTTAACTGTTTCTTTACCCTTTTCTTGTCTTCTTTCCTCTCATCACAAAGAACCCCATGTTCATTCTTTCCAAAACGAACTCCTTCACTCCCTTTCCTCCTTCTCATCTAAAGATTCCAAGATGGCTGGACACTCCCTCACATGGTTCTCATGGGACGCTGTGTTCACATCTAGGTCTACAGTGCTGTTCAGGTACCACTCCTGTCTGCCTGTTGTACCCAGCAGACAGCGAGCCAGAGGCTGTGACCCACTCGTCAACATATCCCTGCCACACAAGAGGCGTGCACTAAGATGTATTAGAACCCTCAATCTGCACGAAGAGAAGATTCCCACAGAATAATGAAGAGTTTCAGATATGCACGGAAGGTTCAAGTAAACAACCTATACATATTAGGCAGCAGGCTATTTTCTAAGAGTTTTGGTATATTTACCCTTTTAGTTCTTGTAACAGCTCTGCAGGCTAAAAAATACTATTAATTCCATTTTACAGATGAGAAAACTGAGGCTCAAGATTGAGTTACTCAGGAAGGTCGTGGAGTCATATAGTGACAGAAAATCCAGGCATCGTCACGCAAAACTTCCTGGCCTGCTGTCCTGCCTCCTAGAACCTCTCACTTAGACACTTCAGCCAGGACTCAGAGACCTCAGGGGCCCTGCTTCCATGGTTCCTTCAGTGGCTAGGCCACTGCAGGGTCTAGTGGATCAGTAAGGACTGCAGAAGTCCAAGGGAGCCTGGCTGCATAAACCCCTAGGGACTCTGTTTCTGGGTTAGTTCCCTAGTTTCCTTTCATTCTTTTTATGAGTCCAAGGGGCTGGTTTCCCTTTGTACTGCTGGACCCACTGCTGTCTCTTCCTTCCTACCACTGAGAGCTTCCAAAGATGTTTACTGCGAGCACATACACAGTATACAGAATGAGACACGCTGACAAGATGACAAAGAATCAGATTAGCTCTACAAGTGAGTCGATTCTCTGAGTTTCCTTCAGCTGTTTCTGCATGGGGAGCTTCTCTTTTTTTCAATCAAAAAACTCAGTTTTAGAAGACAAAAGTAATCAGAACTAAAGCAATATCCACCTACACTTCAGAGACAAAATAAACTACTATTACTGTCACACCATTTAACGTAGTCTGGCTACAAGGCAGTGTCTCTGCACCGTCCACTCCAATCTCTCTCCACAAAGGATTAAGGAAATACACAAGCTGAGGAAGAATATAACTCTGCTTACCAATTAAACTGAATAGAAAATCCTGATTAACTCTTGATAATCAGACAAATTCTTTCAGAGAAACTTCACTTATTCTTTCGTAAATTAAGAACATACATTCAGGAAAATAAGCGAAAGAAACAGCATTTTTACATGCAAGTTTTTTTGATTTTCTCATCTGTGAATGTTCTCCTCTTCCCTATTATTGATTTTATCATTTCTATTTTCTCTTTTTTCTATTTCTTAAAAATTTAGCACACAGATATTCTACCTTCAAATTCACCTCTACACAGTCTCTCACTCCCACCAATGCCCTCACTTTTTAAGTGCATTTAATTCCCCCAATACTCCCTTGGCTGGTAAACAAAGAAAGGTGTCTTACGATGGCAAGGCATCTTTGATCTTCATGTGGGAGATGTCATTGTAAAGGGCGATGGAAACGACCTCTTCCATGGGGCAGATAAGGCCGTATTCCTCACAGCCATTTTCAATGACCAGGGGATCGGACTTGTGAGGGTCGAACATGATGTTGTTAGGAGTGACAATCATGACGCCTCCGACCACACCCTGAGGAGAAAGAGAGAACAGAGTCGCTATAGGCGAGATGCAGCCAGCATAGTGGCTTCAGTGAACCCATGTTGCCATTCCCCTGACTTCGTGAACCCCGGTATCTGACAGGACAGTTGCAACCCTTCTACTGGAAAAACAGGCTGAAGAAAGTGCATCGTTGGGTGCGGAGTGCTAAGTCAGAGAGCCAGACATGCCTCGCCGTGGCCGTCAGCTGGTTCAAGCATGGCTGCTCAACAGAACAGGGATCTTGGGTTTCACATGTATGTCTCAGATTCCCCAGTTCCCTGTTGGTAAAATGAGAAGGGCTGTCCCAGGTGGTGTCCTGATTGAGAACTACGGTCTTTACAATTCACTTAGCACGTATTCACGTGTCCAGCGAGTGCATGGTACTGTGCTCTGGGGGCAGCTATCTCAGTCTCGGTGCCAAAGAACACCCCTAATATTTTGATCTAAGATGCTCAGAAAGCCCACATTCAGCAAACAGGGATATGAAATTTTTTTTTTCATTTATTTTTATTAGTTGGAGGTTAATTACTTTACAAGGAATATGAAATTTTTACAAACAGAAGTGAATACATTCAAACTATGGAAACTGAAAGCAAAGAACAGTTGGGAATTCCCTGATGTTCCAGTGGTTAGGACTTAGTACTTTTACTGCTGAGGGCCTGGGTTCAATTCGTGCTTGGGGAACTAAGATCCCACGAGCCATGTGGTATGGTCTAAAAGAAAAAAAAAAAGAAAGCAAAAACGGTAGCATGGTGGGAGCTTGTTTGAAACTTTGTCGGTTTACATGGTAGACTATGTTAACCATGGGGATATTGTCTACCAGGCACAGTAGGATACAGATGACTCCCTTTAGGTAAATTAGTTATTTTGATACCCTTAATGAGTTTAGTGATCACCTTAGCAAAAAGTTTTGCCTTTCAGACATTACTTATTCTTGGTTGCAAAAGTTTTTCCTACCATTGGAACCTAGCATTCCTATGAGCACAGGAATTCACTTTATATCAACATTACCCCTTCTTCAGAGGCTCATTAAAAGTCAGGTTTGTTTTTTATACAAAACACCAACAAGCAACAAACTAAAAAAATTATATAACAGACATTTTCAAACCAGCATCTCTAGTGGCAAACAAGTTGATAACTTAGCATTTTCCAGGTCAAGTGCTAAGCTCCTTAAATGAATCATCTTTTTTTGTTTTTAATTATTTTTTTAAAATGCTTTATTTTGCACTGGGGTATAACCAATCAACAAACAATGCTGTGATAGATTCAAATAGCAAAAGGACTCAGCCATAATAAACCCCCCTCCCATCCAGGCTGCCACATAACACTGGGCTCTCTACACAGTACATCCCTGTTGGTTATCATGAATTATCTTCTAATTAGCACACCCTACTAATTAAATTTTATTATTATTCCTACTTCATAGATGAGGAAAATGGAAGCTTAGGAAATGTAAATATTTCGCCCGTGGTCTCAGAGCTAGCAGCAGTAGAGCTGGCATTTAAGTTCAGTTACTCTGACTCTAGCATTTGCTGTTAAAACACATTCTATACTGTCTCCCTAAAACTTCATGGGCTAAGAACTGAAATATAAGTGATAAACCCAAGATCATAAAGAATCACATTTTCCGCTCAATGGTTACTATTCCCTTAGTAAGTAAAATGCCAGGCATCCAAGAGGAAAAAACAAATGCACAGTTGTGAAATCTTGCAGCTGAAACTTCGGGTAAGATATTTTTAAGTAGTCTGCCTTTGGTAATTTGGAACTGGTTTAGTTTTCCACAGATTCTAAGAAAAAAAAAAAAACAAATTGCATAGCCATATACCTTTCCATCAGTGAAGTACCGGCAATTCATTTTCAAAAATTTTACCACTCCTGGCTCGTCCTCTTCTGAAGTGGATGATAAGACTCTCTCGATGGGTTTTAAGGCCTTTCTTGCTAAGTCAGCATCCTTTAGAAAGCAAAAATTTCCATAAATAGAAGCACTTTTAAAAAATATTATTTATTTATATGAATTCAGTTATCTAAGTTTCCTATAAGTAACCTGTTTTTATTAAACTTGAATATTTATAAAAGCAAATGTCTTCCATCCTTCAAAAATAATCATCCAAGTCAAATTAAGATTTTTAAAGCGTATATGTATGAACATATAAAAATGCCTCATCACATCTTTAGAAAATACCTTAAATGAAAGAATTCATATTGAACTCATTCAAATTCTGTAGAAAAAGGAGTAAAAGTGTTACAAATAAACTACTGGCCTCACTGAGAGTTTAACTTCCACATAAACAAGACATGCATTTCTGCCTTTGAGACCTTAAATGTGAACAGGTTTCTTCTCTCAACTAATGACAAATTATTTTAACCCCACCTCTTCAGTGAGGGAGGAGAGTTTCCGATGAACTCTTGAGAAAAATAACGTGACCTATTTTCTATAATAACTCAAAAACCGGTGCTGATAAACCTGAGCTTCAGTGCAGGAATGAAATACATACAGGCAGTTTATCGTATTCTGCATCTGATGATGAAGGGGAGACAGTAGCACCAGGACTGGATGATGATAACCTTAAGGTACTCGAGGGAAAGTTGGCATCTGGCACAAAAAGAACCTGAGAATGGGAAAGAAAGGCTAGGTGAGTCCCAAGAACCAGGGCAGTGTTCAGAGTAGTGACTCTCCACACAGTTATCATGCTGGGTGTGGGATGAAGACCTCATTGGCTTGCACTGAACTTCTGACTTACTCGGGGTCTCCCAGACTAATCTGTGAAATAGTATTCAGCAACAGGAATGTGTGTGGTACAAAGGGTGCTGAATATACTGCAGGTGCTCACAGAACAGAGAAAGGTGGGGGAATATTCTGCATAGGCTATGTGAAGCAGGTGAGTCCAAATGAAGCCGTGGGCAGCAGGATTTGGACAGGAAGGGAAGAGCCTTTCAGGGCAGGGTACGATAGTACAAGGGCATAGATGCGAGTAGCATGGCATACTTCTAAACATAACACCCGTGTCAGGAACAAACAGGACGCATCGAGGCTTCCTGACTCTAATGCAGTAAGGTCCTTATGTGAAAAACTATACACAGCAGCATCAATAATCTCAGTACCTTCTCGTCCATCACTGTTTGTTTGGCTTATCTAAAAATCCCCTAAATTGGTGGCGCTGGTGGTAAAGAATCCACCTGTCAATGCAGGAGACACAAAAGATGCAGGTTCGATCCTTGGGTCAGGAAGATCCCCTGGAGTAGGAAATGGCATCCCACTCCAGTATTCTTGCCTGGAGAATTCCATGGACAGAGGAGCCTGGCGGGCCCAGTCAATGGAGCCACAAAGAATCGGGCACAACTGAGCGAATGAGCCCATATTGCACTAAACTGCTTTCTTCTGCAAGATAGTCTGGTTCCCGAAATGCTATTACGATTCTGTTATTCAACACTGTTTTAACAATACATGCTACATTCTGGCATTATGTCAAATACTATCCTAAAATGACCTCTAATGTTATAAAACATGTGAAAGTGAAAGTGTTAGTCACACAGTCATGTCCAACTCTTTGTGACCCCATGGTCTGTCCATGGGATTCTCCAAGCAGGAATACTGGAGTAGGTTGCCATTCCCTTCTCCAGGGGATCTTCCAAACCCAGGGATTGAACCGGGGTCTCCTGCATTGCAGGCAGGTTCTTTACCATCTGAGCTACTGTAATTCACAGCTAATCATGTAACAACTGTTGAATATTGTTACTGAACACTCTGCCCCATCTTCTAGTCATATCTCTATTTTATTTACTTATTTATTTTTGAGAGTTCTGTTTTATTCAGTGGGAACTTTTAGGACTTAAGCCCAGGAGACAGCATCTCAAGTAACCCTGAGAGAACTGCTCTGAGGAGGCGAGGGGAGGAGCCAGGTTATACAGGAGTTTTACAAAGGGCAGGTAGCTTGAACATCAATAGATTATTGCTAAAGAAAACCGGATATCCCAGGTTAAGGAATTTAGCACTTTTCTTGTATGGGAAGATGCAAGAGTCTGGGCTCACTCAAATCATTCCTTTGCATATCTCTATTTTAACTTTGTTGTTCAGTAGCCTGGTTATGTACAACTCTTTGCGACCCCATGGACTGCAGCACGCCAGAACTCCCTATCCCTCACCATCTCCTGAAGTTTGCCCAAGTTCATGTCCACTGCGTTGGTGATGCCATCCAGCCATCTCACCTCTGACACCCTCTTCTCCTCCTGCCCTCAATCTTTCCCAGCATCAGGGACTTTTCCAATGAGTTGGCTGTTCACATCAGACAACCAAAATACTGGAGCTTCAGCATGAGTCCTTCCAACAAGTATTCAGGGTTGATTTCCCTTAAGGTTGACTGGTTTGATCTCTTTGCTGTCCAAGGGACTCTCAGGAGTCTACATCAGCACCACAATTTAAAGGCATCAATTCTTTGGTGTTCTGCCTTCTTTATGGCCCAGCTCTCACAACCGTATGTGACCACAGAGAAGACCATGGCTTTGACTATACGAACCTTTGTTGGGAGAGAAATGTCTCTGCTTTCCAACACACTGTCTAGGTTTGTCATAGACAAATTTTAACTTTAGTGCTTTTAAATCTCTCTTCAATCCAGAAAAAAAGTGAGCCAAGAACAAAACACACCTTAAGATAAAGGTAGAAAAATCATCATCAAGGAGAAATAAGATGAGGACTGATAGTACTGAAAGTATGAGCTTCCAAATTACCAAACATTCATTAAGAAGTGGGCCATAAAATTTGGTCTAAGTTTCCAAATAACCAATGCAAAGAGATAGACATCATGCATCAACAGAATTCACTGTCCATAAAATAAAAACAAACCAGTTTCTTACTAGTACAAGTAGTCTCCCACAAAGACTCATTAAAAAAAAAAAAATGTGTCTCACAGTGAACTCTTTGTCTTAATGACACATTGACAGTAAACGCAATAACCAGTTTTGAAGGACTGTTCTTTGTAACAACGTCAAAATGGGTCAGTGGCAAATGTCAAAAGGTTAGAGTTTCGTGAAAATAATTTACAGAAGGCTAAAATTACATGGTCTTAGTATACAGCTCTCATTTATTGTATGTTTCTGGGCTAGGACAGAAACAGATTTCTTCCAAACAGATGTCAATTCTCTATTTTCTTTTTGCACCTGAGCTCTTGACAAGTGTTAGGCAACGTAGGTTGAGATTCTATTGCCTGACATTCTAAACGTCAAATTAAAGAGATAATTCCTATGCTTAAATAGCCCATTGTACTGTAGATAGAAGTGACAGTGTTAACCTGGAGAAGTCCAGTCACTGTATGTCCTCCTAAAACATGCAAGTGAGTCTGGATCACTCTTCTTAATTCCTCATCTTTGCCATAAAAATCATGAGCACAGCCAGATCTTGGGACAACTAACAGCACATAACTCTTTAGTTATATGAGGGCTACATAGCACAGCAAAGGCAAGAAGGACCATCTGAGTAAATGCAGGCCAACCCCTCATTTCAGAGATGAAACCAAGGTCAAAAAGGAAGTGACTTGCCCAAGTTTAACAGCTCTTAAAGGGTCAAAGGAAATGAAGCTTTGGGGCACCTATTTTCGTATTATTATCCTTAAGGAGGCATATTAAGATGCTTAGAGGAGATGGTTGGACAGCATCATCAACTCAAGGGCCATGAAGTTGAGCAAACTCCAGGAGATGGTGCAGGACAGAGGAGCCTGGCATGCTACAGTCCATGGGGTCACACAGTTGGACATGATTGAGCAGCTGAATAACAACAACAGGGCATATGAAGGCAGTTCCTATACCTCCTGTTAGCTGCTGGGCCTTAACCCAGTACCAATAAACTATCTTGTTCATGGACTTGGTAAAAGAATAATCACCCTAAATTATCTTAGTAAGTTCCACTGGCTACAGCTTGAATTAGTAAGGATATGCCTAGGTTCTCTGCTATGGGTCAGTTAACACATTATTCAGCAATATCCCAGACTATAAGAAACCCAATAAAAATGACTAAAATCTATTACTTTCCCAGAGGTAAAAATGTGTTAAGTTTTGAAAATTTTTAATTCATATTTGCCCTCAATTACCTGGTACTGGCAGTATACTAATTTCCCTAATTTATGACAAGGACATAAATACCAAAAGCATGTTAGTACAAACTGGCCAATTTATAGCCTGGTGGCTTCATTTGCTGCCCTTGAAATAAATGCAAAGAATACTTTGCCCGAATGAAGTTATTCTTAGAAGTAGCAGCATCCACTGAGAAAGAATTCAATGTTACTAAAATTTATTTATTTGTAAACTTTTTGATGGCTACCATTCTGACCAGTGTGAAGTAATACATCATTGTGCTTTTATTTGCATTTCTTTAATAATTAGCAATGATGAGCGTCTTTTCATGCGTCTGTGGCCTTTTCTTAATGATCCTGCTGAAAGTCTCCACCTTTGGCCAGATTGATTACTTTTGTCATGGTATCAAATGAAGGCCAAAATGACACAAATTTTGCCTTATTTAAAATAAAACGATGGCCATAATATACCCCATGAGAGGACTAAACTGAAATTTGCAATCTAAATTAAACATTTGAAGAATATCTGTATGAAATTCTACAGGGAAAAAAAGTTACATTAATTTAACTTTTCTTGATGGAAACATCTATTAACACAAAGGATAGTTAAATCACCTGTGTTAATCATTTGCAAAGCATTTATCTCTGAACAGTTCATAAGCATCAGGACGCTTTCAGAAGTCTTGGATCTAAGAGACTGAACCAAGACACAGTAATGATGACAGTCCTGAGACGCTAAAAGCAAGTCATTAAAAATGGCAGTGAAAATAAATTTCTAAAAGTAAAATGTTTCTAAAGGAAAATTCAATAAGAAAATCATTACCTGGCCTGGAACAATAGTGTGCGTGAAAAGCTTATTCAGTTCCACTAATTTATTGGGAGTGATGTTAAATTTCAGTGCTATGGAGTTTAGGGTGTCCTGGCTTCCAGCCTAGAATAATCAAACAAACAAGATTCAATACACAAAGCAAAAGACAGACAAAATCTTTCTCCTGATAGTCACTTAATCTATTTTTGATATGAGTGAATAAAAAAGTAACACATACATCCAAATGTATTATGAAAAAAGCAAATACATTCTCAATTCTTAACAAAAAACTCTTAAATATTTTTCATTTCTGGGCTCCCTTATTTGCAAATTTCACTCTCTACTAATAGATTTCTAAGCTTACTCTGGCACAACTTAGGTGTGTGGAGCAGAGGGTCTATGTGTTATAATATAAAGCTAAGAAGTAAAGAAATATTACACATAACATTATTCATAGGGGAAACGGAGCTAGTTTCTCTCTTAGCATTTTTCTATTTGCCTGTCTCTTTACTGTACTTTAGGCTCCTGGATTGTGGCCTGTTAAAGACCATTTTCCCTACAGTGCCTGACACATAGAAGGCATTTAAATATTTGATGAATGAATACAGTGAAAGGCATGGAAATCTAAAAGGACTCAGACTAGCGACCAAAAACTGTCCACTGACATTAACATGACAATTTCCCAGAGTCAGCCAAATTAGTGTTATTCTTTAAATCCATAAAATTTGTGGTATGTTTCAGCTGTTCATGTCTCTGTCCTTCTCTAATAGAGGAGGAAGAGGAATACAAAGGGCGGGACTTTCCTGGTGGCTCAGTGGTAAAGAACCCACCCGCCAATGCAGGAGACACAGGTTTGATCCCTGATCTGGGGAGACCCCACATTCTGTGGAGCAACTAAGCCCTCCTGCCACAACGAGCGAGCCTGTGACCTAGAGCTCGGGATGCGCAACCACGGCAACCACACGCTGCAATTACTGAAAGCCACGGGCCCCAGAGCCTGCGTTCACAAGAGGGGCCACTGTGGTGAGGAGCCTCCACATGGCGACGAGAGAAAGCCCCCGCGACCACCAAGACCCAGCGCTGAGATGCTCCCAACGACAGCCCTGGGTCAACACCGGGGGCTAACTCTGTAAGCTCAACGGGCTCCGCCAGGCGAGCCTTGAATTATAGGCGGAGATTTGAGGCGCCTGAAGGAATTTGTAAGCAGCTGAGACAGATATCGAGTTCCACTTACCACTCACTGCCTTCAGGTATCAAAAGCCCACCGACTAGATGCACTGTCCCAGTTCTATAACTGTCCCAGAACTATAAGCAAGTTCACAGTTACTAAAACTACCTCAAACATTTCTAGAACAAGATAGAAATACATAAATTTTTTAAAAGTTACTGAAAACTTAACAGATGCCCCTACCTTACCCTGAGCAAAATCATCAGCACTAAAGGTTAACAAAAAAGTTTTCAAATATTTTTTCAAGCAGTACATATTAACATAATATATTCAAACCCACAGCTTTTCAAGGTTTAGAGTCAGTAGAAGACACAGATTGATAATGTAGACAGACTATAGTCAGACTGTTGGACCTGAATTCCAAATCTGCCATTTGCCAGCTGTGTGACCTTGGGTCACTTGCTTAACTTCTCTGTTCCTCAGTTTCTTCATCCAAATGGAGATACATATGACAAGTGATCAATAAACTGGCTTCATATTTTTACACAAAAACTTGAGGATACAGGGGAGGAGGAACACTTTAATGATCTGCAGGTATTACACAAGCGTAAAACATATATACAGAACCAAGTTACAGAACCTGGGGAGGGATAACTTGTATCATTAAATGTCTGAAACTAAACAGAATGCTTGAACATTCACAGCACTGGAACAATATAAGCAATTGTGTAAGTGGCTCTGGTCATGGTTCTCTAAACACAAAGTTATGGGTCACCTTTTAATCATGAGAAGTACACAAAATAACTAGCCAACTAATCTCCATATGAATCAATCAGGTGGACATATCTGCATTACTAATTTGATCACCCGTTTATATGAATTAATTTGGGGTTGATTTTTTACGCTCACTGCATCGTTTAGTACACCCTGTGTGAAGCATCTCCTAGCAAAGACTACTTCTCATATCCGTGGAGGTGCTTGTGAGTCACACTGTAGGATATATACATGGCTTTAGAATCAATGATGTTTTTAGTGATAAACAATCCAACACTTAAGCAAGATCTTACAGGAGTTAAAGGCACTGTGCTAGGTGTTATGGGCATCAACAACATACTGCAGCCAGTGGTAATGGGACATACATAATCACCCCCAAATCTTCCTGGAAAGGCCCAGGCCTATAAACCATAGAAAGATGCCTAGAAAGATGTCCACAGAGCACTGTGCATGAAATGCCAGTGCCAGGGCCTCCAGTGTGGGAGGTAACAGGCAGGAAGGCCGGGGGTCTCCAAATGGAGGAGATAGGCTGCAAGTGTCAAACACTTTTTCTCTCTCTCTTAAGCAGCAGGAGGAAACAAACTAGTGATATATTTCCCCCCCCCTTCTCTATACAAGTTTAAAAAGAGGTTAGTCTTAAAATACTGTGTTGCCATAATGACACCTGGTTCCACCTGAACTTAACTTTTCTCAAACCTTGAGTTAACCAATGCATTTTTCTTATGGAAATGTTTGTCTTAAGCCATGTTAATGTACTATGCATTTACCCCAGACTCTGTCTTCAAGTCGGTTTGCCTAAAGGTTCAGAACTGACCTGACAAACCAGTATGTTATACTCATACATTGTTCTCTTAATCTATGTTATTGAAACCATATATTTGTATGGGAATCTGCCTTTCTTCAACATTCATGTCAATCGTTTTATGGCCCAGGATGACTCCGCCAGTGCCAAGATTATCTCAAAATGCATCGTGTGGGTGAGGGGCCTGATACCATTCTCTGAGTTTTGAGACATTTCCTTCCTTTAATTAGCAGACTGCTAGTAGCTATATAACATCCAGCTAAAGACTAGCAAGGGGGGTATTCTTTCTGCCTCCTTCTGATGTCTATGTCAGAAGCTTTCTCTATCTCCTTTATACTTTAGTAAAACTTAAAGTTTTACTAAGCCTTGTCTCTGGCCCTGAATTGAATTCTCCTCCGGAGGCCAAGAATCCCGGCATCTTTCCATGGTTCAGCAACAACCTTTCAAATGTGATGCTTTACAGAAGCTTGGAGAAGATTCACCATTCTAGAAGAAATGCCAGGGGGGGACAGGCCTTGCTGCTTGCCTTATATAGAGAGCCAGGCATTGCACACAGATAATTAGTAGAAAATAAATACACATGAGGAAAACAGAGGGGCAGGGGCCACAGCACTTAATTTCTTTCTAGAAATCAGAGATCACTCCTCAGCAATGCCAGTTCAAAGTAATGAAACAGATCTATAACTGAGTGCCCACTTTGTGCCAGGCCTGGGATAAGCATGCACAGCTGCTGGCCTCCAGAAACTCATGGTGTGATGGGAGAGATGAGTACATAATGGGGAGGGGCAGTCACGGACACATGCACTGCATCATTCATCTGCTGATTCAACCATATGGAGGTCTAATCCCTGCAAGCACCAGAATTAGAATGGCACCCAAAATGGGATCTGGTCTCTCTCCATGGGTATGTGAATTAAGGCACAAGACAGACATTGAAAGATAACAATTATACTAGTGGATCAACACTGTTAAACTGATAAAGATTATGCAAAAGAACACAATTCTATGAGACAGCAGAATGAAGGGATCAGCCCTAGACTTGCAGGATGGTCACAGAAAGGAAGAATGAACGTGGACAGTGATAGGAAGATGCTGTTTAGGCTGAGGTTCTGGTTTATAGAAATGTATGGATGATGGAGTCACTGCTTCTTGAAAAAAGGCCAAGCCCAAAGGTCTAAGTGAATGTGTTGAGTAGACAACTGAATAAATGGTTTGGGAAGTCAGAAAGCATGACTAGGAAGGAGACCTAAAATTACTCATCACTGGCATATCAAAGGTAATTCAAGTAACAGGTTTATTCAGGGAAAAACTATAGAAAGGAGAAATGACTGAGGTCTTAAGAAGCTTTGCTATTTAATGGCTACACAAGAGGAAGGCAGCGAAGGGGCAGGATGTGTCAGGAGAAACATTATGTAAATCTAGTGGTATTAACAAATGTTTGTACTACCTGTTTGTACTTACAGTGTATTCCATAGTACCATGGGGCTTCTGAACCACCATCTTCTTCTCTTTTTTATCATGTGTTTTGTTTGGATTGTCATCTGAGGAATAAAATGATATAAGTGAATGATTTCACTTTCAGGAATTGAGGATAGGGTAAATTACAGTATATTAAAACCCATTCTCAAAATGACTTTGAAAAAACAAGAAGACACTAAAAGAAAAATGGGTTGAAGGTACAAATAGACCAAACTCATAAAAACATATTGGTCATCAATGTATACATAAATAAATGATTAATGCTAACTGAACTGAACTGAACGGTAATTAAATAGTACAAATAACAAAGAGGTTATGCCTTATAGTTATCCAAGTATTTGTTTAAATGATAATGTATAATGATGAAGTTAAACTAGTATGGTGATATAATTGATATACAATGTAAATCAGTACAGCCCTTTTAGAAAGTGATTTGTCAATATGTAACAATAGCCACAAAAATGTCCATAACTCAGTAATCTTTCCCTTACTTATCCTAAGGAAAAATCAAAACAAGGAAAATGCTAGGCACAGTACATGGTTACTGCAGTATCATTTATAATAATGAAAACTTGGAAAGACCTTTATGTTCAACAACAAATTAATGTGGACCACAGATCGAGCTGCTTTTAAAGGTCAAAACCAGTCAACCTAGTAGTTTGGCAGCTACAAATGATTCAACCTGTTATAACAAAATACCTCTTAATATAATCAACCAGGACACTGAAAACCAGAGAGACATATATCAATGGATATACAGTTAAGTGACAAAAAGTACAAGATTGAACTAACTATGAAAAGATGCTCTAACTTGTATGAGATCAGAAAAATGCAAATTAAGACAAGCTATCATTTTACAGTTATTGGCATGGCAAAAATCAGAAAGTTGGATAATTCTAGGGTTGGCAAAGATGCAAGCTGCTACACAGAATGTAAACTGGTAAAACCATTCCAGCAAAGTAATTATACACAGCCTGCTGCTGTTGTTTAGCCGCTAAGTCGTGTCTAACTCTTTGTTACTCCATGGACTGGAGCCCGCCAGGCTCCTCTGTCTGTGGGATTTCTCACGTAAGAATACTGGAGTGGTTGCCATTTCCTTCTCCACGGGATCTTCCTGACCCAGGGATCAAACCCACGTCTCCTGCATTGGCAGGTAGATTCGTTACCACTGATCCACAAGTATGACTCAGCAAATTGACCCACAGATACACATCCTCTCCCAGGAGATATCAGAAAGTGAGTGACCTGCTGGAGGGTGCACAGAACAGAGTTATCTGTGGCAGTGGGGAGCAGGAGGGTAAGCAAAATATATCTAAGTACTGCCTAGAATCCCAGAGCATAACAGGCCAGAAGCAAACACCAAAACATGTTTAGAGAGAAACAGAATGGTATGTACAGAGTGGTACCATTATGTGCACTAAAAACAGCTGCACACAAAACTGCACACATTTAAAAAAAAAAAAAAACTTTTATTTATTTGACTTCACCCGGTCTTAGCTGTATCACGTGGGATCTAGCTCTCTGACCTGGGCCCCCAGCACTGGGAGTGTGGAGTCTTAGCCACTGGACCACCAGGGAAAGCCCTGTGGTTGAACAGTTTTATCAACCTGTTTCTTGCCTATAGAATTTGGGGAGTTGATCAGTCTTATTTCATCTTCTTTTGGTTCCTTGTCTACAGAATTTGAGAAGTCAATCAGTCTTATTTCATTTCAGCTTCTTTCTATTCCCCTCAGTCCAATGTGGCAATGTTCCTGCTGGTATAACACCCAAGAACTTGGAGGGTCTTCTGTCCATTAGACAAAAGGCTCATTTACAGATCTTTTCAAGAAACTCCATCTGTTTCCGACTTCCACTGGGATGGCTGAGGGAATCCATGAATTACAGCTCTGATCTCTTCAAAGAGCCTTCTGACAGCTAGACACATTTTTTAAGGCTACGTCCAAACAAAAGCCCCCACACATTGAACACAATAGAATGCAGTGGAGGGGGAGAGAAACAAGAGCGGGAGATGAGGACCCTCTCCATCTGAGACCCTAGAGCCCCCCAAACCCACATGCAGACCAACAGTATCATTTCAACTTCCCAACAAACACGGATGAGCTGGCTGAGGATGGAAGGGAACACAGGAATGTGAAGACAGTTAATGTACATGGGATTCTCTGCCTTTTAAGAATTTCCTTTATATTATTTAAAATTAAGAACCAAGAGGAAAAAAAAAAGATTGCTATTAGTCTTTTTCTAGTCCTTTATAGAATCAGAGACACTCTGAAAATCTATTATAAGCTTATTCACTCAGCTGTGTCCAACTCTTTGTGACCCCATGGACTGTAGCTTGCTAGGCTCCTCTGTCCATGGAATTCTCCAGGCAAGAATACTGGAGTGGGTTGCCATGCCCTCCTCCAGGGAATCTTCCCAGCCCAGGGATAAAACCCAGGTCTCCCACATTGCAGACATATTCTTCACTGTCTGAGCCACCAAGGACCCCCCAAATCTTCTAGACTATGTTAAAAAAAAACGGTTTCTCTTCCTTTAGGTGATCAATCACATCTAAATTATTTCAGGAAGATGAGACTCTACTGACTGTGGTCTTCAGATCTCCAGATTCTGTAGGAGAATCTGGAGGTTCCATACAGCCTAGTGAAAAATAAAGGAGAGTATTTTAAAACTCTCATCATCTGCATGGTGTTCATTCCTTTTAATATCTTAGCTCCACTCTCTGCCCCACATCCCTGCCTTTTTCTTTGCTGCCAAAATCAGCTGTCCCTTAGGTCTTCCTGCTTTCAGCACAGTCTCTTCATATCCTTCTGTAGGTGCTTCCTATTTCTAGAGCCTAACCTGCTGCTTCTTCCCATCTGTGGCAGCTTCAGCTCATGCCCTTCCACAGGCTGTACATAGTCATCTCTGGTCCCACCGGGGGTCCTGTTGTATGCCAGCAAATCATGAGAGTTTCCATATTATTCAGCTGCCAGAGAAAGCCAGGTGCTGGCTGAACTTTTCAGGATAAACTTGACAACTATGTACAATTGATTTACTACAAAAATTACTTTTCTTCGGCACAGGTGGATAGGCCAGAAAAACGGCAAACACGGTAATAATATATTTAGAAGGAAAAAAAAAATACAACCTTTCCTCCTGAGTCTAAGATTTTGAAATATTTGAGGCAAGGACCATGATGTATACATCTCTGAATGTTTTGTGCCCTAGTGTGATACCCATTACACATGCTTGCATGAAATTTTCCAATACAGATCAATGGGCCTAAGGAGTTTGAATATGGGCAATGTTTTCACTGATAGAACATCACACCAGGAACATCATCTGAAGCAAAGCCACAAACCAAACATTAGGTTTTACAGCTGAGTGAATACAGAAAGCTGAGAAGTAACTAACACGTTCTAAGGACCTAATCTGTCTTCACCTGATTATAGCCCAAGGTAAGGATTCATCGGTTAAGTTCAGTTCAGTCCCTCAGTCATGTCCGAATCTTTGCGACCCCATGGACTGCAGCACGCCAGGCCTCCCTGTCCATTGCCAACTCCCAGAGTTTACTCAAATTCATGTCCATTGGGTTGGTGATGCATCCATCCATCTCATCCTCTGTCGTCCCCTTCTCCTCCTGCCCTCAATCTTTCCCAGCATCAGGGTCTTTTCAAATGAGTCAGTTCTTCGCAACAGGTGGCCAAAGGATTGGAGTTTCAGCTTCAACATCAGTCCTTCCAATGAATATTCAGGACTGATTTCCTTCAGGATGGACTGGTTGGATCTCCTTGCAGTCCAAGGGACTCTCAAGAGTCTTCTCCGATACCACAGTTCAAAAGCATCAATTTTTCGGCACTCTGCTTTCTTTATAGTTGAACTCTCACATCCATACATGACCACTGGAAAAACCACAGCCTTGACTAGATGGACCTTTGTTGACAAAGTAATGTCTCTGCTTTTTAATATGCTGTCTAGGTTGGTCATAACTTTTCTTCCAAGGAGCAAGCATCTTTTAATTTCATGGCTGAAGTCACCATCTGCAGTGATTTTGGAGCCCCCCAAAATAAAGTCTGTCATGGTTTCTACTGTTTCCCCATCTATTTGAAATGAAGTAATGGGACCAGATGCCATGATCTTAGTTTTCTGAATGCTGAGTTTTAAGTCAGCTTTTTCATTCTCCTCTTTCACTTTCATCAAGAGGCTCTTCAGTTCTTCTTTGCTTTCTGCCATAAGGGGGGTGTCACTGCATATCTGAGGTTATTGATATTTCTCCTGGCAATCTTGATTCCAGCTTGTGCTTCATCCAGCCCAGCGTTTCTCATGATGTACTCTGCATATAAGTTAAATAAGCAGAGTGACAATATACAGCCATGATGTATTCCTTTCCCGATTTGGAATCAGTCTGTTGTTCCATGTCCAATTCTAACTGTTGCTTCCTAACCTGCATTTCTTAAGAGGCAGGTCAGGTGGTCTGGTACTCCTATCTCTTTAAGAATTTTCCACTGTTTGTTGTGATCCACACGGTCATAATGTTTCCTAAATATTTTTTTTGCAGCAAGTTTTCAAGACAGCCAGCTATTCCTCTCAGTAAGTGAAGTCTTGGATACATTACCTCCACAAGTTCCACAGCACAAGGTCCATGAAGCTCTGGGGAGAGAAGGGCAGAGCTCTGGGCTGCCTGGGGAGAGAATTTCTCTGCTGGGTTTCAGGAGGGGCTCCACTGCCAGCATTTCAGGTGAGGACTCAGGGCCACCCTCAAGGATGCAGTTATCTCCCAATGACACCTGACATCTCTATTTCGAGCTTCAGATCTCCTTAGACCTTTCTGTTGTTCAGTTGCTAAGTTGTGTCTGACTCTTGGCAAGCCCATGGCCTGAAGTACGCCAGGCTACCCTATATCCTTCACCATCTCCCAGAGTTTGCTCAGATCCATGTCCGTTGAGTCGGTGATGCCATCCAACCATCTCTTCGTCTGCTGTCCCCTTCTGCTTTTGCCTCAGATCTTTTACACCGGCCCAAATTCAAATTCTCCCCCTGCTTACAAAAACTTGAAGCAAACAATGTAGAAGTATCTACTACCAGA